AAATCCACCCTCTTTTGATTGACCTTTAAAGTCCTTCACCATCAATATTTGTGTAGTTTGAAATAAAGGCTTGGGCTGTGTATGATGGGGTGATTCTAAAAAATAAAAGTGCATAGGGAGAAATAAAAAGGAGTAATTATCTCATGCAAATGAGGCATGAAAGGAAGAACTGACACAGAAGAAGCAAGTGTGTATGTGGGTGGAGGGCTGGTAATGCTAGAACCTTACTCTCATTGGAAATAGGTTAAAGAGGGAACAACATATACATCCAGAAGGGTATAAAAGCCTTCTAAATTTAGAAATAAGAAGGCGAGGGGAGAGGGTAAGGGAGGAACTCTTAGAGGGGTGGATAGGTTAAGGAATAGGAGGGCAAAGTAGGGGGTAGAAGTAAATTAGACTTGTGAGGAGAGACAGGGTGAATAGGGTGAGGATAGTGAAAAAAAAAATAGGACGGAGGGAAATACCCAACAAGTAATTATAACTTGGAATGTCAATGGGATGAATTTACCCATAAAACAGAAATGGATAGCACAACTATCTAGCACTAGCTAAGAAATGGAGAGGTGGATTAGTGAACAGAGTATACATACAATACACAGTATACTGTAAAGGACTATAGTAACTTTGTGTTTGACAAATGTAAAGATTTATGTTTTTGGGATACTACTTCATTATTTAGTAAAAAATTGTTGGGAAACTGGAAAGCAGTCTGGCAGGAATTGGGCATAGACCAATGTATTAAACCACATACCAAGATAAGGTCGAAATGGATACATGACCTAGATAATAAAGGGAGATATCGCAAGAAAATTAGAACATATTACCTATCAGACTCATGGAAAGGATAATGTGAGGAAATGAGACAGTGAGCACTGTTGAGGTGTAAATGGATAATTCTGATTATTTTAAATTAAAAAATTCTTGCATAAATAAAGCTAATGTAGCCAAGATTAGAAGGAAAGCAGAACATAGGGGGAAAAAAACTTTCATAGACAATTTCACAGATAGGGGTCTCATTTCTCAAATATATGGAGAACTTTGCCAAATTCATAATACAAGTCATACCCCAGTTGATGAATGGTCTAAAGATATGAATAGGAAGTTTTTCGATGAAGAAATCAAGACTTTGTAATTATATGAGAAAATGCTCTAAATAATTATTGATCAGAGAAATACAAATCAAAATAATTCTGAGATATCATACCTATCAGATTAGTTAAAATGACGGGTGCTCTTCAATCGGGTAATGGCTAAATAAGCTGTGGCACGTGATTGTGATGGAATCCTGCTGTGATATAAGAAATGATAAACTGGTTGATTTAGGACAAATAAGGGAAGATTTGGACCTATGAAGGAAGATGTTATCCACCTCCAGAGAAAAAACTGACAAATAGAAATAAGCATAGTATGGTCTCACATGTATATTTATATTTATGGATATGTACATATATGTATATATTTGCATTTAATTGCAGCCTTCTCTGGGGCGGGAGAAAATAAAATAAAAAGTGCACAGCAGTGAACAAAAGAAACCCTAGAAGGAAGCACAGAAAAGCTGGACTGCTTTGAAAACAATGGGCAGGATTTATTACACAGGTTTTCACGAAATGGAAATTTTGTTTTATATTGAATCCTCTCATGTTCTGTTTGTATACATAGAAATGTTTTTTTTTTCCTTTTTGTATTTAAGTTTAAAATGAAAAAAAAAATTAAAACTGCCTCCAACCTACCTTTCCAGCCTTATTCCACGCATTCTTCAGTTCAGCCAAGCTGGCCTTGTAGCTGCTGTTCCTCACACATCATTCCATTTGCCATCCTCATACCTTTGTACTGGTTGCCCCCAAGATCTTGAAATCACTCCCTCTTCACTTCTGTTTTTAGAATCTACGGCTTTTTTCAAAATTTAGCTCAAGCCACTTCCCTTATTGGCCTTTCCTGATCCGCCTCCTGTCAGTATTTTCCCGACACTGTTAGATTTATTTTGTGCATATTTCATGTATGTATACATGTTGCTTCTTCTTGATAGAATGTAAGCTCTTTGAGGGCAGCGACTTTTATTTTTTTCCTTACCCCCAGTGCCTAATATGCCTGACACATGGTAGGTACTTAGTGTTTGTTGATTGATGAGGCCCCTCTAAATGTACTAGAATGGTCTTCGAGATAATCTCTGTGGCCTAATGGTGACTGGTGAGTGTCTGCAATATGCACAAATCAATCAGAGAGCTTATAATTCTGAAAAGGAAAGGATCCTGACATGGACAGACCTCTCAGCAGAGAATGTAAACTACTGAAAAATGTAGCTTCTTTAAAGGGGCGAGTTTTATGTCAGGTCCTGAAGGAAAGTTAAAAAATTAATGGAGGATAGATGAGAGGGCATTCTAAAAAGGGAGAGAACCCTTTGAGTAAAAATGAAATGGGAAGAGTATCAGCTGTCAACAGCGAAAAGATTTTCTGAGGAAGGGGATGAAGCAGTAGAGGTGTGTGGCTCTGGCAGATGACAGAGGTCCTAAATGCTAGGCAGTAATTTTGATTTGATACCCTAGGAGCTCTTGGGGAATGTGACAGATGTCCGAGGATGATTGTTTTAGTGATTTTGTGGAGGCTATATTTGAGAACAGTTGGGTGCTATATTATGGCAATTCGGTGGAGAAGTGACAAGAGTCTGGACTAGGGTGGTGAAATTGTGAAAACAGAAAGGAAGAATGAGGTGACAGAAATAAATACATTCCCTATCATGTTTTTTTTATCACTCATTTTTTCTCTACCAATGAAGCTGATAATACACAAATTTTAGCTATATAAATGGGATTTCCTTCAGACAATTTCAATCTAAAACGATTACAGAATAGAATATTCTTTAATTATAAAATAAAGTGGTACACAGATGCTTTAACACAACTAATTGGTATTTTTTTTGTAATGAAGACATTTCAAATCACAGGTAAAGGAGTTAGTAGTTATCATGGATTTAGATTTGATGGAATTTTTAAAATTATTAAGGAAAAAAAAGCTAACATTCACATAGTATTTTAAGATTTGTAAAGCCCTTTACATATATTATCTTACTTGAGCCTCACAACAACCCTGTGAGGTAGGTGCTCCTCCTCACTTTATAGATGAGGAGATGGAAGCCATCATAAGTTTAGTAGCTTGTCCAGCATACAGCTAGCTCATGTCTGAGGAAGGACTCAACCTCAAGTCTTTCTGACTCCAAGTCCAGTAATGCATCCACTGTGCCACCTACCTTCCCTCAAAAGGCAACACTAAGAGCAGATAAATGACAAAATACGTAACTTTGAAAACAAAAAAGAAGTGAGACCTCACTTTCTTTACATTGGTAACCATTTGGTATGATGAATTATCTACTGCTGATATACATTTAAAATACCCCCAAAAAAGATAAATACAAATTGGAGCTATGTAGCACTTCTCTTTTAATACCAACAGATAATTTGGAAGACTTGATTGACTACAGCAATGTTTAATACTCTGAGAAAGTTATGCCTGAGTGTGTCTTAAAGTTAAGTTTTCGTTATGGTAAGGAGCTTTGCCACATTAACTTTTAGAATTTTTTTTAAAAGGCATAGCTTATATACTTTTGAAATGCATCTTACAATTTTAAAAAGTTATGGACTTCAGAAACTAAAGACCTTAAATTAAAAAAATTTTTTTTAACGACTTAAGTACAGGGAAGTGGCCTGCATATGATTTCTTGCAGTTGCAACAACTATCATGTGGACAGTAACTGATGAAGACCTTTTAGACATCTACCCAGATGTCACCAAACAATATAAATAGAATGCTACTGTAGTCCGAGTCTGTTATTGGTCCAATTGGGTGAAGAGGCGAAGATCAAAATGGGTTACTTTTGCCGTGAGAGGCAGGCAGGCTACGTAAAGCTCTAAGATGCTTCTTGATGTTTGCAAAATACCACAATGGAAACCATAAAAATGTCAACCAAATGGGAAACTTCCCAAACCCTAGAATAAGACCTGCATAAAAAGAAGATAAAATTAGTACTTTATGTGTGCTTTTACGAAGTTTTTAAAACAAGCTAGTGTTTAATTCACATACATACTGTCAATCTGAAAGAAAAAATTCATAATAGGAAATTAAATACTGTAGAATTAATTGAAAATATAACTTTAAAGGGTTTTTTGGGGGGTGAAGAGAACATACTCCACAAAGCATTAAATAGGAAAATTTCACTAGTTACAAAAATTAACCAGAAAAAAAGAAATTTCCAATTTGCCTAAGCCAATACTGAGCATTGTTCCTGAAAGCCAATGCTTACCTTCTAAAATGTCTTATTTAAAATCACTGTATGAAAACAGAGGTTGCCCCCAAAATCTTAGTGTGGTTTACAGCTTTAATAGCTTCTAAGCTACAGATAGCTATCAACATCAAGCTACTGAAACTTAAAACTACACTAAGACTCTGTATTGGGGGTTAATGCCTTTAAAAGGTGCCCTTTCTATTTTTTTTCCCGGTTCACACAAGATCAGTATCTAGAAAATTCATCAGAACATTATTAGACACCAAGAAAGGAATGGTTGCAAAGGACAGATTTTTCATTTCATCTTTTGACCTTCAATCCAACTAAGGAAGCATTCCAGAAGTGCCTGGGAGTCAGATGCAAACTTAGCTCTTGGCCTTTATATTCAGTTAAGTCCAGCGACATAACTATTATTTCATATCAGCCTGCTGACAGCATCTTCAGAATAATTTCCCCTGGGACCTGAAGCTCTTATACCATAGAATTGGTACTATTTCTTAGTTAAAAGTCAATTGTCAGTGTGCAGGAAAGAAGAATTTTCAGACAAAGTAATAGGTATACTCATGTATATTAGAACGGAGTAGCTGATTTGCTTTTCAGGTATAATAAATATCAGATACATAGCATCTTGAATTATGATGACATAATTAAGAATTTAAGATAATAAACACACTGCATAAACAATGCAACATAGAAGACTCCCATTTTAAGAACAAAAATAGGATTCACATAAAAATAAAAAATAGATTTATTATAATTCACATCTAGTACAACTTAGAAGTCTACATTCTTAGTATCTAAACCATTAAAAAACAAACAAAAAATAGCTGACAAAGTTAGAGGCTCTTCTTGTCCAAACAGGTCCAAAAGAGGGCACAGACTGCTTTTTGTTATTAAATTAAAATTACTGATCACCTCCTCTTTGCCTTAAATTTCTAGATTTTCCATTATCAAATCTTCTCTTTTTGAAGACTGGAGCTACTCCTTCTGCCACATCTCCAAGAGAGGTGACTGTCTTTTCTTTAAATGTCACTTTTGGGTCCCCACTCATATCAGCAACTGGAGCTCCTATGTATTCATCCTCTGTACTCGGAAGTTCCAAATCTATCTTCTCACTAGAGTAGAAAGTAAAACAAAAACTATTATGTAACAATCAAAGTAAGACGGAAACTTTTTCAAATAATGCATGCCTTCAAATCAAGCCCAGAAATATTTATGTCTACTATAGACATATAGAGAGTTTGTTAAGAATGTTTTTTACCATAAAGGTTGATTTTGCCAGTTAATTTAAATTAATAGTTACTTCAAGTGGATAGACTCCATAACAGCAAAATCAATCTTAACATACATTTATGGAACAGATTTTATCTTCCAAACAGAAAACAGATAACAGAATTTTTTTTAAAGGATTCATGCAAAGACCCAGGGATCATCATTCTAAGGCAGCTATAGAAAGAATAATGCTTCTCATCAAAAAGGAGGAAGAGAACTGACAGATGGTTTCAAAAATCATGATAAACAGGTACATGGTCATTGCAATTATCAAATGTAACCAATACTGGTTTACCTCTGAATGAAGCCTATGAAACAGAAAAGGCCCTCCCCAGGGGCAACAACCAAGAAAACGTCAACCAAGGAGAAAACAAATGACTGAGTAATGAGCTTCTGTTTACAGAAATGAGGGATTTATTATAGCAAGACCAGATCATTGTTAATAGAGATTACTAAAAGGTTATCCTTAAGAAGTCTAGATGAAAATTTACCACTACTAAATACCAAAAAAGACAGGATTCTAGAATTATAAAAACAGAAGCTCAATACACTTTGTAAAGAGGCAAGGAGCCCCATACTACCTCCCCACCCCAATTCTTGAGAATTTAACAAATTGTTCTGAAAATGGAACCTCATCAAAGACAAAATTATTGCCTATGATTGCCCAGATAAAACAGCTAACCATAAACATTTGAGAACAGTATTTTTAATAATCCATATGGGATCTATAAAGGATGCTTCTAACTTCTAAACTATGAGTAATGAAACATCTCTCAAAATATAGAAATCTAGAAGTTGAAACCATATGGAAACAGAATTATTTATCATCTCTTTTGTCTCAAGGTTGGAAGTTGTCCCAAAAATGTCTTCAGAGAGTCTATAGAAGATGAAATTTATATCCCTACACTTTTATTTATGTACAAAAGCTATAGCCTGTACAATAGTCTGAACATTAAAGATGACTTCTTATTAGTGACTATGATTGTTCCTATGTGAACTCTATTAGCTATGAGAATGAGAAAAAAAATAACACATTTATATGGTGTTTTAAGATTTACAAAGCACTTTTTTCACAACTGTGTAAGGCAAGTAGTTTAAGCATCATTATCTCTATTTTATAGATGAGGAAATGGAAGCTCAGACAGGTAAAGACATGGTCACATAGCTTATAAATGTTGAAGCCAGGACATGAACATAGGCTTCCTGGTTTCAAACCCAGGACTACTTTCCACTATACCACAGTGCATTGTGGTATACATTAGTGAATACCTCTCTCCACTACGTGTTCAGTGTCAATGTCCACGCTTATTTCAAGCAAAACCAAGTTTATTAATGATTATGTATAATGCATTATGTTAGCCATTAGGTATGTACAAGGGTAAATAGGACCCTTGTTCTTAATATGTTTACAATTTAGTTGGGGTGATAAAATATTCACACAAAATAATTATAAAGATCATAATATGATAAAGTGAATAAGTATGGGCAATATAAATTCAGATGAGAGGTACCATATCTTCTGAGCAGTTCAGTGAGGACTTCATAAAATTGGGGGCACTTGAGATGACAGGATTAAGAAAAAAACATATTTGAGATGGAGGGAATGATGTGATATTGGGTAGGGTGAAAAGTTGGGAAGGGAGTCTGATTTGGTTAAAATAATGTGAGAAAAAGGCTAGGGAAAATGTACTGGTGCCAGAGTGGTTAAGGTTTGGAATGCCAAGCTAGAGGATTTGTCAACTGAATACATTTCAGTAATAAGGTGTTTAAAGTTTTTGATCAGTGATGAGAACCATGTACTAGGAAGATTAATCTGGCGGCTATGTTTAGGATAAACTTGGGGGTGACGAAGAAAATGGAAATTGGAGAGGTTGATTAAGAGGCTACTTTCATAGTCCAGTCTAGAGGCATGAAGGGTCTGAACTGGGTGGGGAGGTGGTGGAGGTGGTGGTGGTGGTGGTGGTGGTGGTGGTGGTGGTGGTGGTGGTGGGGGTGGTGAGGTACACAGGGCATGTGCAGCAGTGAGATGGATAGGGAAGAGATGGGAGAGCTATTTCTTTCTTTTTTTTTTTTGGCTAGGCAATGGGGTTAAGTGACTTGCCCAGGGTCACACAGCTGGTAAGTGTCAAGTGTCTGAGGCCAGATTTGAACTCAGGTCTTCCTGACTCCAAGGCTGCAGCTCTACCCACCGTGCCACCTAGCTGCCCCGAGGGAAGAGTTATTTCTAAGAAACAACTGATAGGGCTTGGTGGTAACTGACTAGATAGGAGTGTGAGTATAGAGGGAGAAATGGATGATGATATTAATGTTTCAAGTGTAAGTAACTAGGAATGTCATCAACAAAAATAGGGGTGAGATTTCTGGGAACCAAGATGGCAGAGTAAGAAGTAAATCGCTCTCGCTCTCCCTTATTGACCTCTAAAAGCCAAGAAAATATTGCCCCACGAAAAACCTTGAAAGAGCTGAGCAAACACAAAGACAGGGTGCAGCAGTCTTGTAGCCTAGGAAGCTTGGAGGATTAACTCTGAGGTACCACATCACACCTATCAGATTGGCCAACATGACAAAACAGGAAAATGATAAATGCTGGAGAAGATGTGGGAAAACTGGAACACTAATGGTGTTCCATTGCCCTAATGGTAATTGGTGGAGTTGAGAAATGATCCAACTATTTTGGAGAGCAATTTGGAACTATGCCCAAAGGGCTTGGGATATGATATTCCATAAAGCAAAGGAGCTTGGATTACAACCAAGGATCAACTACCTAGCAAAATTGAGCATAATCTTTCAGGGGAGGAGATGGGACATTCACTGAAATAAGGGACTTTCAAACCTTCCTGTTGAAAAGACCTCAAGAGAAAATTTGATCATCAAATACAAGACTCAAGAGAGGCATAAAAAGGTAAACAGGAAAGAAAAAAAACATGTCATTCAATAAGGGCAAACTGTTTACATCCCTACATGAGAAGATGATACTTATAACTTTTTTTTGGTTTTGTTTTGTTTTTTTGACTAGGCAATGGGGTTAAGTGACTTGATCAAGGTCATACAGCTAATAAGTGTTATGTGTCTGATGCCGCATTTGAACTCAGGTCCTCCTGAATCCAGGGCTGGTGCTCTATCCACTGCGCCACCTAGCTGCTCCTACTTATAACTCTTGAGAACTGTATCTTTATTAGGACATTTAGAAGGGGTATACATAGACAGAGGGCATGGGTATAAGTTGACTTTGATGTGATGATAAAAAAAATCCAGTTAAGTGGTGAAAAGGGATTATACTGGGAGAAGAGGAAAGGAGGAGGCAGAAAAAGGTAAATTACATTACATGAAGAGGCACAAAGACTTATTATAGTAGAGGAAAAGAGGGGAGGGAGATGAGCATTGTTTGAACCTTACTCTCAGATTTGGCTCAAAGTGGGAATAACACATTCAGTTAGGTATAGAAATCTAACTTACCCTATAGGAAATAGGAGGGAAAAAGGAAAAAAAAGGGAGGAGCTTGATAGAAGGGAGGGAAGAAGTAGTAAGGGTAAAGGGGAAGAAAAGGGAGGGCAGACTGGGGGAGGTGGTGGTCCAAAGCAAAACTCTACTGAAGAGGGAAAGGGAGAAAGGAGAGAAAAAAGCATAAACGGGAGGGAAAACAGGATGGGAGAAAGCTTTTTTTGTTGTTTTGTTTCTTCTTTCTCGTGGTTCCTCCCATTGGTTCTAATTCTTCTTTACAACATGACTAATGTGAAAATGTTTAATATGAATGTGTATGTAGAGCCAATATCAGGTTGCATGTCATCTTGGGGAGGGAAGAGGGAGAAAATTAAAAACTCAAAATTTTATGGAAGTGAATGTTGAAAACTAAAAAAAAACCAGGCAGGTAAGAAAGAGGGACAGATTTGAAAAAGATAATGATGTCATATTTGGAATTGGAAGGCGTATGTGGGATCTTATCTAAGTAGGAAGACCCAAGGGGCAGGTTGAAATGGGGATCTAGACCTTAGTAGAACGCACAAGGCTACCTTGAGTGATGGCTAAGATTTAGGGGTGGTAAGAAGAGACAGACAAGAAATGGCCAGAAAGGTAGATGGAAAACCAGGATGCTATCTTCTCGGATTAACTGTGTATAAATAAGTTTCTGTTACTTACTAGGGATTATCCTCTTGCTTAATTTCTTTCCATTCCCCATAAGGGTTTGGCTTTTTAGGAGACCTAGGTTTTTTTTCTAATGGACCTGGTGAGTCTTGTTCCTTCTTGCCATCACTTTTTTCCTTCTTTGATTCAGTTTCAGTTTCTTCAGCATGATCATTTTTAGTTCTTTTCTGAAGGAGAGAAAAGAAGATGACTGATGACAACATTAAAACAACCTTTAAAAAAGGTTCTAATTTTACTTAAGTATGTGATTGCTTCAAACAGGGGTTGAATAACCATGTGGGTGTATCAGAGAAGAGATTTTTTTTGAGCAAGGGTGGGACAAGATGGCCAATGACATCCCTTTCTCTAAAATTCTGTGACTTACTGTGTGCCCCTTAGGGAGGATCACTTCAAGCTTCTGGACCTTAGTTTCCTCATCCGTAAAATGAAGGTTCTAGCACTAAAATTCTCTGAATATTAGGGACAAATCAGAGTTCCCTGCAAAATGAGTCAATGTACTTCATTTTTACATAGAATTTACAGTTTAGGCCTAGCATTTGAGAATGCAGTTCACTTGGTAGGACGAAAGCTATCCTGAACTTCTATGGAAGAAGCGTATAAACTCCTGAACTTTCAGGAACAGAAATTTGTCAGAGCCATGGTTATGACTTATGGACAAGTCTGCCCTTATCATGAATACTGAAGGGACTGAGAGGACTTAGGTTCTTCTGCGTTAGGAAAATCTCAGTTACATCCTGGACCTCAAGGAAACAATGCAGTATTATGACAGAAGCAGTAAATCTCCAGACCTTAACTTCTTTTGGCCATACAATTCAAGAGAAGTTACACACTGGATACTAAAGAACATAATAAGTTCTGGGTACTAAGTGTAAGGTGCAGGGAATTTTTCCTTTTCAGAAAATCATGAATCTCTACCTTCATGATAGGAAGAGGGGAGCATAAAGAATGTCTTTCAAAAGGCACCTGAAGGTTCATTATGTATCTTGTTCCCAAGGGACCTGGAAGGTCTAGACTGGGAAACTCATACCCCATGTAAGTAGCGTCAAGACGTTCTAGTAGTTATCATGGTTAAAAACCACCCAAAGTACCCTAAAGCAGAGGAGTCAAACACATGGCCTGTGCCCCATGTGGCCTACTAACTCAAAGGGATTCTTACTCACGGTTTTGTGGCTCCTACATTTCCATTTGAGTCTGACACCACCACTCTAAGGCACTCTCAAATAGAAGGTTCTGTGAATTCACTTCTGATCCATTTTATTGCCAGAGTCAAGGGGCCATGGCTTAGCTCCTTCCTTTGTCTTCTTCTGCATGTACATTGTTAGATGAATTATTTAAATCAGTGGTATCAAACTCATAGAAATGGGGGCCTCTAAACCATATATAAAGTTGGGCTGCAGACTTAGGAAACCACACATTAATAGTATCTATGTTTTACTGTATTTTTATTAAATATTTCCCAGTTACATTTTAATCTTGTTTGGGCTGTAGTTGAGAGTACTGTAGGTCACATGTTTGACACCTCGGAACTAAATCACAGCACTCTCAGTTATCTGGATTACAAGATCTACTTTACTAACGGAAAAACTTTCAGTGTACAGGCAAAGCAATTTATAGGTACCCAGTTTTAATCAGATTCTAACTTAATACTGCTTAACAAATAATTCATTTACATATTCCTTTAAGGTTTACCAAACAGCTTTCCTCACAACAACCCTGTAATGTAGTGCCATGTAAGTATTATTATCCTCATTCTGCAGATGAAGCACTAGGGTTCAAAGAGCCTAAGTGAATTGCCTGTGGTTACACAGCAATGAAGTAGGAGAGCTGGGATTCAAACTGTGGTCTTCTAAATCCAACTCTCTTTCCATTCTAACCTGCTTTACCAGCTGGGTTATTTCCAAGGGAACATCAAGTCCTAACCGGTTGAACTCCAGATGCAAATCCCTGATCAAGAACATCTGGATGCCCACTCTCTTCATTTCAGGACCAGAACTTCTCGAATACGCCTCTTCCCCATGTCCTGCCAGTAAGGGTCAGGGTTCATAGCTGCTATTCTGTTTCTCTTTCTCTCCCTTTCAAGGATTTCTTAACATGACTGTGCTTCCTGTGCTAGGATTTCTCTCTTTTTAGCTTCTACAATTCAATTTTTACAAAAGTAAATGGATTTCCATTAGGATTGTCTTAGCCAAACAGTAATACATTTAAGATATACAAATAATTGGTGAGAAGAGTAATTTACTGAAAGCTGAATAGTGATTGTGATCACAAACAATTCTGCATACCCAAGAGTTGTTCATATTTATATTATAATCTAGTCTGCTAATCTAGACCTTTCATAACGTAAGAGGTGGCCTGAAGAAAAATAAATCAAAAGCTAAGTTCAGGATGAGAAAATGAGTATGTAGATTTACTGATCCTTTGGAATATCCTGAATATGGAAAAATACACCCAGGGATAAACCCTATTCATAAAACCTTAGGTACCCTCATGAACAGAAAAGGAAATAGTCCATTAGTGAGAATGCCAAATAAAATAAACTTGAGGAAACAGAAGACACAGAATGCTCTTCACTTTTGCTGGCAAATCTTCCCAGTAATTCAATTCAACATTTCATAGGTATAAAATACAGCATATATATGTATAATCAGAAAAGGAGGTAGGCCATTTATAGTTATAAACAAAAGATAAGAAGCAGGCAACCCAAGTGTTGCACTAAGATGTTAAATATCAAAAAACCCAGAAGAAGGTCTCCAGAGTTTGGAAGTATAAGAAAGCAGAAAATAATTCCATGGGGGATTTCTAGAAGGTCATGGATGAGAATTATGCAGGAGGAGAAGGCATAGATGCGTTGTTATCTGCACTGGTAAAGGGAGTACTTACTTCAGTGGATAAGTAGAAGAAGAAAGGTTTGCAATTATTAGGAAGTGAGATTTACAGAAAAATTATTCTGTAAAAATTGTTTCTATTCCTGTTGTCTAGTAAAGAAAGCACTTAACTGGAAGTCTATGAGTGACTTAGAGTAGATTTATACGAGTTACTTATTCTTGCTACACTTTGATTTTCTCTTTTACTATAAGGTGGAACTAACTTTGTGAAACTTCATAAAATTTTTCAATATATTTGAGAAAACTGAGCACAAAGACTTACCCTAAACTTTATTTTTGGCTTTTGTACTTCTGTAGAGGTCTCTGATTTTTCCTCCTCTTCTTCCTCTGTTTCTTGTATTTCACTGGAATCACTATCAGAATCAGATGACTTTGATTCAGCTGGGGCATCAAGTGTTTCAGTACTATTACTAGAAATGGGCTCTCCAACTTGTGGAACAAAATCCTCAGGCTTCTCCCATTTGGATTCTGTTCCAAAACATTTGATATAGCATTTTAAAAAATTAACTTACTATGAAAATTTTAAACTATTTAAACTTAATCTATAAAAATGTGTTTAAGTTAACTCCTTCCCTTTGTGTTTCTTTTCATTGTCTTTGTCCATTCATCCTGTTTTCTTTTTGTATACTTATAGTTTATGTATATACTGATATTTAGGTTTGTTTTCTTAATCTTATTATTTCTCTATTAAACCTTTCCATATTTTTTATATTCCTTATATCTCATTCTTTCTCAATTGCATGACTGTGTTGTGATTACAATGATATAGCACACTGTTGAGCTATTCACCCACCCACAGTTAGACTTTTAGGTTGTTTCATACCAACAACACAAACAATATTGAAATCACTAATTTTCTTCATAATTCCCAGAATAACATTTGAGATCATAAAGTTATCACTACAAATGTTCTTTTTAAATGGCTGAGTTATATTTATGCAACACTATGGCAACAAGATGAAAATTGTTTCACTCCTTACTAGATACTAATTCTCCATCTAGCAGATAAGCAACTAGTTTCTAAAGATGTAGCGTTGATTAACATTAGCCAGGTTGCAGGCTCCACTGCTCCCTATTTGGGGGTCTTGTACTTATACCTTTTGGAAATTAGAAATCAAGGGGCCTGGAAATTAAATAGAGTAATTCAAGATCCCACAAAAACCAGGACCTTACTTCCACTTAATTCAAACATACACACTTATTAAACACCTACTATGAGCAAGGCAAATATGCAAAACAACAGTCCCTACCTTCAAGGAATTTATAATCTATTGCTTGAAGGGCCTGTGATTTCTTCAGTGTGGGAACCCCCTGCAATGATATATTTCAGCAGTTCCCAAAGTGTGGTTTGGGGATCCCTGGAGGTCCCCAAGCTCCTTTCAAGGGGTCTGTGAGGTCAAAAAACTATTTTCACAATAATACTAAGATGTTTTCATTTCTAATACTAAACATTACCAGATATAACCCACATAAACAAAAGCTCTTTGGGATCACTTCAATCATTTTTAAGAGTCTAAATGGGTTCTGAGACTAAAAAGTTTGATAACTGCTGATTTAGTCTAATTTGGGTATGAACAATAAGCCCTTCTACAAATCCCCCAGCAGGTGACCATCCCACCTCTGCTTGGAAGACCTCTAGTTATGAGGAATCTATCATCTCCCAAAGCTGTTAATTCCACGTTAGGCATGCTTTGTTAGGAAGTTCTCCTTACTTTGAGCTATAATCTATCTCTCTGCAACTTCCACCCAGTGCTTCTAGTTACGCCATCTGGGGACAATCAAAACGAGTCCAATATTTTTTTCGTCTAACTGTGCATATCAGATGTTTAAAGATAGCTATCATGTTCCTTCTAAATCCCTTTTCTATGTAAAATATTTTCAGAATATTTTCAGAACATCCCATCCCTGTATGGCATGGTCTATAATTCTTTTACCCTCCTGGTTGTCTTTCTTGGGAAGTGATCTAACCTGTCCTTCCTAAAATGTGAGGCCAGGAAGTGAAAAAAGTTGGACTAGGTTAGATCACAGTAGGATTGTCACCTCCCTTATTCTGGACGCTGTTAGTGTAGCCCAAATCAAATATGTTTTTTGTTTCTATGCCTTATTATCATTATTACATATACTGAATTTGAAGTTAACTAAAACTCCCAGCAGAACTTTATCACATGACTGAGTTTCAATATGCACCAATGAGATTATGGATCCATTGAAACAAAGGGCTTCAGAAAGAGAGAGATTTTGGGAAATGTTTTGCTGAAATCCAGCCATTTTATGTCAGTACATTCTTTTGACCTACCAGGCTGATAACTTTATTGGGAAAAAACAAGGCATGTGGATATGAAATTAGAGCTCTCTTTTGAAAAAATGAAATAAAAACATTTTACACTGTGTTTGAGGTTAATTTTTAAATAACTGTTATAAACTGTCTAAGGGGCATATTTTATTTCATGAAAGATTCAAGTAGGGGATACAGAGTTGAAATTTATATTTGAAATACAGAAACAGAACCTAAACCTATCCAATGAGTTTAGTAACTTCATTTAGAGTAACAGTAGCTCAGTTTGCTGAGCAGTTGAATTAGTGCCTCAATTCTGACCCTGACATGGACTTGCAACTGTTGCAAAATATACTGGTTTACATTAGACAATAAGGATTATAAGAATAAAAATATGAACTAGTTCTTTATCTTTCACATTAAAAAATGTGTCAAGTTTAACTTCTGCCATTTTTAGAAATGCATTAATTTTAGTTAGTTGATCTACACTGACACCTACTGGTCCTTCTGGCATTTAGCATACATTTGTAATTGGCATTTCTTTCCTCTTGCTTATCTTCTGATCTGTTAGTATGGTGCATATTCTATGCCTACAGGGATGATGCTAGAAAATTTTATATATAATTTTTGCTCTTCCACACCAAAAATGAGTTAACAAAGAACCTTCTGCTAAGAAAAACTTAAAATGTCAATTTTATTAAAATGATGGAAAATGATCATAAGCTGATGACAATAATGATGTCATAATAAACACCAGCCATTTATAAAGTTTATATACAATTAAGTGGTTTGATATTCTAAAAGTCAAGTAACTTCAATGGGGACATAAGACTCTCAAAGAAATTCTGATGCAGACTCAAACAATTGTAAGGAAAAAAGGAGAGGAATAAAAACCAAAAAATCAAATGTAGCTGTGTAGTAAAAGTTCTGGGGCAGCTACGTGGCAAAGTAGATAGTATATGGGGTCTGGAGTAGGGAAGATTAATTTTCCTGAGTTCAAATATGGCCTGAGACACTTACCAGCTGTGTAACCCTGGGCAAGTCACTTAATCTGTTTGTCTCAATTCCTTATCTATAAAATGAGCTGGAGATGGAAATGGCAAACCACTACAGTGTCTTTGCCAAGAAAACCCCAAAGATTCCTTACCTTAGGAGCAGCCCAATGAGGATCCCAGGAATTGCCTCCTTGCTTCATTAAACTAAGTGCAGAATCAATGAGAGTGGGCTTTATGTAACCCATGAAGATGTGATATATCCATGTACTAGAAATTAAATGTCCAGCACAAGTAAATGCAGCCTGAGCCGCTAGATAGCACAGTAGAAAGAGTGCTGGGCCTAGAGTAGGGAAGATTTCATGAGTTCAAATCTGGCCTCAGACACAAACTAGTTGTGTGACTCTGGGCAAGCCACTTAACTCTGTTTGCCTCAGTTTCCTCATCTGAAAAATGAAATGGAAAAGGAAATGGCAAAGTACTCCAGTATCTTTGCCAAGAAAACTCCAAATGGGGTCAAAAAGAGTCAGACATGATTGAAAATGACTGAACAACAGCAAGAACTCTCCAATGAGATCGAATTTTTAAAAGTCATGTTTGAAAGATGGAAATGAGGAGACACAGAGGACAAATATGGAAGAGTGATGTTATCCTATAGGACTAATATTAGGAAAAGTAACTAAATCATTCCTGGAGAAGTAAAGTGTTAATGACAGCAGAAAGGGCTTTTTAAAGTCATGTTGAAGACAAGAAGATCACTGACCTGCTGTTTGACAACTAGGTCTATAGCAAAAGATGATAAAGTAAAATTATTCAACTCTTCTTTTACTTTGGTCTTCTCTATTAAGGCAAATGATCCTAAGACTAAAGAGAATTTAACAAAGAATTAAGAAGGAACTGAATGTCAAGCTAAGTGAGAAGATAAGTGAGCTCCTAAGCTGAACTCACGAAGTTCAAATAATCCCTGAATGTGATGAAGGATATTTCAAACTTGCAGAACTTGCCAGTATGATTGTTGAACTGCTGTCATGATCTTTTAAAACTACAGAACTAGAAAGGAGTTAACAGGATTGGAGCTGGGTACTGATTTTCACTAGGACTAATTTTCAAAGCTGAACCAAGGTCAATCCTGCAAACTACTGTCACAGTCTGATTTCAACTGCTGGTAAAATATGGGAACAAATAATTAAAGGAACTGGACATATTTAGCTGAATGGAAATGCGAAAGGAGGAACTATAATAGTTGTTTCAAGTATCTGAAGGGCTGTCATGTGGAGGAGGAATCAGACTTGCTGTTCTGTTTGGCCTCAAAAAGCAGAAAAAGGAACAAGAGATGGAAATTGCAAAGAAGCAAATTTAGTCTTGATGTCAGGAAAAACTTGTTAACAATTTTAGCCTTTCCAAAACTGGATGGGCTGCCTCAAGAGGTACTGGGGTTCTCCCTTGGAAGTATTCAAGCAGACAGTGGATAACTTCACAGGCTATACTGGGGATTCCTTTGGGTTGGACCAGATGGCTGCTAAGGACTCTTTCAACTCCCAAATTATGTGATTTTTGTGCTTTATAAGCATTTATGAAGGTATGTGGTAATTATAATAAGTCAGTATAAATTCATTCAGCATAAGTCTTAACAGGTAAACCCAGATTTCTTTATCTAAATTAGGCAGATCAGATAAATACAGTGGTCATAGCACACTCAGAAGCCAGAAAGATATTGGAACCAAGCCTAGTCTACAAATGTAATCAGTTGTTAAATCTTATCAATTCTACCTCTTTACCAGAAGTAAAGAGCATTAAGTTCCCTCTCTACTCACCCTAGTTCAGGCCCTTCTCATCTCTCAGCTGGAATATCTCAATTTTGTTGTTGCTGTTGTTCAGTCATGTCTGACTCTTTGTGACCTCATTTGGTGTTTTTATGGCAAAGATAATGGAGTGGTTTGCCATTTTCTTCTCCAGCTCAATTTAAAGATGAGGAAACTGAGGCAAACAGGGTTAAGTGCCTTGCCCAGAGTCACACAGCTAGTTAAGTGTCTGAGGTCGGATTTGTACTCGGGGAGATGTCTTCTTGACTCCAGGGCTGGCACTCTACCGACTGGGACACAAAGCTGTCCTGCGGAGTATTTAAAAAACCAGTTCTAACTGGCCTCCCTGCCTCAAGTCTCTCCCATCTCTAACTTACCCTCCACACAGCTGCCAAAGTGTTTAATTCCTCAAGTACAGGTTTGAGGTTATTTCCCTGCACAAGTCTCAGGGGCTCTTTTGCTTCTAGGACCACTCCTTTGTTTGGAATTTAAAGCCCTTTATTACCTGGTTACCTTCCATCCTTTTAGTTCCATACCTCACTCTCCTCATTTGTTCTATAATCTAGTCAAGCTAGCCTTCTTACTCATTCCATTTCCAGCCTCCATACCTTTGTTCAGACCTCCCTTTTTACTTCCGCCTCTTAGGATTCCTAGTTTCCTTCCAAATCCAGTTAAAGTACCACTACTTACTTTCTGCCTTTCCTGATCTCCCTAGCTGCTAATGCCTTCAGATCTGAAATTATCTTGCATATCTCGTTTACACTTAAATATATATGTGATGTTTTCCTTCAATAGAGAACGTAAGCTCCTCAAGAGTAGAACTGTTTCATTTTTATTTTCCTAACCCAGCACCTGGCACACCACAGGCATTTAATAAATGCTTGTTGGTTGATATAAAGGATATTATGAGACTGTGAGATTTGGGCTTAGAATGGGAGATAGGACTAAAAGAGGGATCTGGATAATTGAATTAAAAGACCTCAAAAATGTCATCTCTACTAGAAAACATTCTTTGGCCTTATTTTTTTAAATGATGTTATAAATGACTCTTAGATAAACATATATACGACCAGTTTTTTTATTTGCAGGTGACATTAGGCTAGAGGGGAAACTGATGTGGATGTCAGAATCAGGGTTTCAAAGGGTCTCAAAGGTAGAAAAATGGGCCAAGTGGAAAACTCTACATTTGGGTTTAAAAAATTACACAAATAGGAGAAACATCCACAGAAAATAGTTCATGTAAAACCTGTCTGAGGGTTCTGGTGAACTGCAATCTTAAGGAGACACATGTGACATGGGAGCCAAAAGAAAAAATAATTCAGGGTTGGATTTGGGCTGCATTAGCAGAGGCATACTGTTCAGAATGAGGAAGCTAAGAGTTCTGAATTCTGCTTACTAGAGCCAAATTACATATGGCATAATATGTTCAGATGTGACCACTATGGACCCAAATGTGGGGCCTGTTAGGAAGGGCACTTAGGGTTGCAGTGTTTCCAGGGAAGATCAACAAAGATGGTGAAGGAAGTCAGGGCATGACTCAGTTGAAACACCTGGCAACTGGAGATGTTTATTTTGGGGAAGACTTTGCAGGTAGGGGCAGAGCAAGGCAGGATATGGGATATGCTTGCTTGTCTTAAAAAAATTCCTAACAATCAGAACTATCAAAAAAATAAAATGTCTTGAGAGATAATGAATCCTTTGAAACTGGAAATCTTTTTCAGAGGCTGAGATGACAGGGCCACATATTAAGAACTAGAAGGGAGATTAGAAATAATTTTGTTCATGTTTTAGGTAGGGTTTGAACTAGTTGATCACACATGTCTCTTCAAACTCTATATTGACTGGAACTATGATTTCATTGGTCTAGGGAACTCCTGAATGAGGAAACTCCCTTTTATCAATGTACCTTTTCTGCAATTTATGGGTTTTTTTTTAATTTTTAGTTTTCAGCATTCACTTCCATAAGATTCTGAACTCCAAATTTTCTCCCCCTCCCACCCCAATACAACATACAATCTGATGCAGTCTCTACATAAAAATACATATTAAACATATTTTCACGAGTCATGTTATAAAGAAGAATTAGAACCAATGGGAAGAACCACGAGCAAGAAGAAACAACAACAACAAAAAAGAGAGCAAATAGTATGCTTACATCTGCATTCAGACACCATGGTTCTTTTTCTGGATGTGGATAGCATTTTCCATCATTAGTCTTTTGGAGTTGTCTTAGATCTTTGTAATTTAGAGTCTTAAAAAGAATTTTTTAGGGTAAGAGTCATCAAACTATAGTCTGTGGGCCAAATCTGACCCTCAGGCCATAGTTTGCTAACCAGACCCTTGTTCTCAGGCACTGAGAGGGGTTAAATGACTTGCCCACAGTCACAGAGTCAATATGGTCAGATGCAGAATCTTAACCCTGGTCTTCCCGATTCCAGGACCAGTCCTTTATCTACTCTGCCACTTTGTCTCTTTTGCTACTCTATAATTCTATAAAATAACACACACCCTCCTCAAAAAAAAATTCCTAGTGCTCACAGAGAACTTAAAGAACAATTTTTAAAAATTAAGTTATACTATTTTGGTAACAATTAGAATAATTCTGCCAAACTAATTCAAAAGAAGCACAAGTACTATTATGGAAATATAATTAATTACTAAATCATTTTTATGAAATTAAGGGTTTTTTTTTCCTAAAAAGTAAAACACTGCTGATTTTCCAGTTTATAAAAAAGATTTAAACTGGTGAGCATCTGAGGTGTTCCAAAAAATATACATTGTAAACAAATAAATCAAAATCATTCCACTCTCTATTTTTGTATTGACTACCTAATATTAGAGAAAGCAAGGTGTGGTAGATAGAGGGCCAGTTCAAGTCCCTAAGACCATACTTGTCTACATTGGTGGAGGGGGTTCCTCACGACGAGACCTCTATTCTGATAGAAGGAAATACAACCAAAAACTTTATATTAATAAATATACACAGACTACAACCTGTATTCCTTAATTACTGGTTGTATGTTCAGAAAATATTTACACAAAAGATTCATGGATTATAATTTTTACCTGAAAAATAAATCTATAAGTTAAAAGAACTTAACCTATAGAATTAAAATAATTTAATTTACAGGATTATCAACTGTAAAATAAAGAGGCTGAACTAGATTAATCTTTAAGTCCCTTCCAGCTCTAATGTTCTATTTTTTATAACCATTCTGATATAAAGGCAATAAAGACAAGGGTTTAAGTGATTTTCCCTTTCCCCATTCTGTTTTGAGTCTGACACTTGGTGAAAATAAGTGGCATCAGGCAAAAGCAGTGACCCTACACATAGGAATAAATCACTGCTATAAAATTTTTGATAAAAAGTTTAATATCCATGACCTATAACTTATTAACATGAATCTTACAGGATCTGTTCACTCACAATATGTGGCCAAATTATATGAATAGGCGATTTTCAGAAGAATCACAAATTAACTTCCACAAGGAATAGCATTCAAAATCTAATTATCAGAGAAATAGAAATTAAAACAATTCGGAGATGACCCCTTATGCCTATTACACTGGTAAAGATATTAGGTAAAAATGTTAAAATTCAATGCCAGAAGGGCTGTGGGAAAAAGGGTACATTATTGTAAGTGGACACAATCTTTTAGGAAAACAGTATGGAATTACATAGTTAGAACTACAAAATTATCCATCCTCTGACCTAGTAAGCTGGACCCAGTCCTAACCTAATAAGCTAAAGATATGCTTGTCTGTAAAAACGAAACAAAACCACACACACATTTTCTTAGTAATAATGTTTGTTTTAGCAAAAAGGATGGAAATGACTGATGTTCTATTAAGGAATGGTTGAACAAATTGTAGTATATGATTATAATGGAATGTTATTATGCCATAATACATAAAAAATATAAATCTTCTTTTTAATTTTTCATATGAAGTAGAAGTGAAGAAAACAGAACCAAAAGAATACACATACTTTCTACAATGATATAAATATCAACAAAACTCAGGGGAAAAAAACAGAAAAGAAAAAAAGTTCAGAGAGGGAAAAGAAAGTAAAATAATTCAATTACTACTTTTTAAAAAGTTACATTAAAAATGTTAGTAACTTAAATTTAGGGTTTTATGTTATTTTGTTTGTTCATATGTGTTTATTAATGGCTAAGTTCATAACAGAAGAAACAAGTAACCTTAACTTTAGCTATTCATAGCATGCAAATAAATCCTTTCTAGTACTTAGCGAAAAGAACGTAAACAATAGCAGGTATTACTTACCACCTGTTTCTGTATTATAATAATAGGTATAACCATCTTCACTTAAACCTTCTACCCAAAGAGGCATTGCTGCTTTCTAACAAAAACAAACATATAAAATATGCTAAAAATGATCATATTTAACAACAATGACAATAACAAAAAACCAGCCTGACACAAATATAAAAGGATCAGCAGACTTTTTTAAAAGTCTCTGTCAAGATACATATTCTCTTGGCATAAAGTGTTAAGAACTGGTGACTGGGAATGAGAACTTGAAACACTGAAAAAGGGAGATTGGGAAAAGAAAAGGGAATTGACAGACCAAATTTCTCGGGAGATAATTCACATCAGCTACCAATTCTTGACTTAGATAGCAGCTCTTGTCAAGCAGGAGATAAAGTGGATATTTGGGTCCAAAATGGCTTATGAGCAGATGAAGAGTTCTCTCTATGCCACAGTTTACTGACTTTGACCTAAGGAATTCTTTTAACTGTTTTATGAACTCTTGGAGGAGTTTTGAAATAGAAAGGACAAAAATTGCAACTTGTTATTTGGTAGTATAAAACGATGTTTAGAAATACTCTTTACCCATCAACAGATTAAGAATTTTACTGAAAAGAAATGAGTTCAATTACCTTACTAAATTTTCCTTGAAATCCTTCAGGTTTCTCCCACTGAGATTCTAAAAGTAAGATCATATTGTAGTTACAGTTTTTCTGCTTTCTAAAAACATTTCTAGACCTCTTGAATTGTTCCTATAATCCATGAAGGTCACCAATACATTAGGAATATCTAATGTGTTCACATGATTCTGTGGAGAATTACAAAAGAAAAATCTCTTTCCTCAAGGGTCTTATAATTTAATGGGGAAGGAAGACCAACAAATACTTTAACAACTATTAAATATACCATATTGTTCTAAATATAGGTTCCTCCTGAATACAGGCCCCAACACTAAAATACTCTCTGAAAGGAGAAAAAAAATACAAGTATATACTGAAAAGTAACAGCAATTATAAGCTGCCTCCAGGTTTTATTCAGACTACTTTTTTTTGGGGGGGGGGCAGAAAGACTGTATATACTACATTCAGGCCAATACAGAATACATAATAGACTATAGCTGTATAGAGATACAAGTAAGTTTGACAAAAACAAGAAAGTTGAATTTTTTAAATGAGGAAATTATTACAACAATTATAATGATTATAAAGGTTAGTCATAAAAAGAATCAAATTTTCATGGAATTAAAATTTCATCAATTTTGGAGAAAAGTATTTGCTGTGATGAAGATGGGATACAAAACAGGATGAAGTATGGGAAGAAAACTAGGTTTCTCTGGAGCACAGAGAGTAAGCCAAGGTGTAGAATCCATATCTTGTATAACTACAAAAAACTATAAAGCCTAAGATAAATTATGAGTAAAAAGCAGTTTAAGACTAACCTATGAGAGAAGTCAGATCTGTTATTGCTGAACTGTCCAGGCGGTATAAAGACCCGCTCACAATACTTAGATGGATCAAGGGTAAGCCTATCTCACTGCTACGGTGCAATGGCTACTTCACTCAGGGCCTAGGGAGGATTCTGATATTTAATGGAGAGTATTCTGGTACTTAATTAAAAACTGGGGAGTTATATAAAATACTATCTATAATGCCCTGTTAATTATTTGTACATTCAAAGTGCAGATTTCTGGGGTTCTTTTTTTTGCCCAGTGATCCAAGGAGCTATCTTTCTGAGAACACAGACGATACATAGAACTATGACACTTCTATAGGGCTTTAAGATTAGCAAGTTGTGTTATATATATACTCTCTCATTGGAACAACAGTCCTGTGAGGCAGACACTATAGGTAGCATCATCATCCCCATTTTACAGATGAAACAAACAAAAACTGAAGCTTGGTGAGACTGCTCATGGTCACAAGACTAGAAATCATCAGCTGTGGGATTCCAATGTAGGTCTCTCCTCAGTTCCAGATGAACTTTTTTTTTACTACACCACGAAGCTTCTCAAGTGAATCAAAAGATCAACTGAAAAATATCATTGTCTGTATCAACAGAATTGAAAGCACAAAATGCCAATGTACACCAATGAAAGTATGCTAGGTACAGACACAAAAATGATTTGGTTTATGGTTCTCAGACAGAAAACTTATTCTAAAGAATCTCTCACTATAGAAACCTTCAATTTGAAGAAGTGGGTATGAAATTCTTTTTATTTTCCCATTAAACTGGTTGTTCATACTTTTACAAAGCTTATAAAAGAAAGTTAAGCCAAGGGTTTTACTGGGTTCATTATTAAGGCTCTAAGTAAAACACTCAAAGTGCAGATTTCTGGGGTTCTTTTTTTCCACCCAGTAGGCTCAAATATACTTTCGAGCATTTTGGGTTGGTTAGAAAAATTTGAAAGCGTGTTCCCTTTCAATGTTATGGTTTTCTAATACATCAGTTCTTCAAGAATAAATGGTTTTATCACTGAACATTTTCTCTTCACAGTACACATTACATCCCTTCCACTCTTTTGTGGATAGCCCTTTAAAGATGCTGAAACCCAGAAAATTCATTGCTTAGTGGCCATCCTGGTGATAAGCTTCTCTAAGTTGAAATAGGAGGGTCCTTAGATCAGAGACATACAGTCCAATGACAGACTTATACTTGGAACTTTTCCAGATTGATAGGACTTGCTAGAATTTGTGTTCCATTGACACTGACTTTGAGAACCCCCAGATACCTCTATGCCATGATGAAGCATCACAGCAAGGCTTTACTAGGAAAAAAAATCATAAAAATTAAAAAACAAAAAACAAAAAACCCAAAACAAAATAAAAACCTACAAATTCTCTGTATTAGACATTGTATTACACTATATTTGCACCTAACTACTTACCTCCTGTGATGGTATTATAATAGTAATGGTAACCCTCTGAAGACATGCCTTCTACCCATTTGGAAGCTCCTACTGCATCTATATTGGAAAGGTCTTTTTTCCTCTTTTTCTTTTCCTTCTTCTGATTTGATAATGAGATAGGTGGGGCAGTGTTAGTTACTTGTGGTGTGCTAGATTCTGTAACATCTGTAGAGAAGGTGGAAGAAAGATGACTTATCCAGTTGAGCATTCTTTCGTGGTTTTTTTTTTTTTTTTTTTAGGCAATTGGGGTTAAGTGACTTGCCCAGGGTCACACAGCTAGTGTTTGGTCTGAGGGCAGATTTGAACTCAGGTCCTCCTGACTTCATGGCTGGTGCTCTATCTACTGCACCACCTAGCTGCCCTGACCAGTGGAGCATTCTTAAAACAATGACTAGAACTTGTCTTCCGTTTTCACTAGATTTAGAGAGTAAATTAATAGAGAATATGATTATTCAAGCCCAACAGAAATACAAATAATTAAGATATAATCCAGTGTGAGGATGGATTTCTGGACAGAGAAATCTCCAAATAATAACTAAAAGAAACAAGGGGGTTGTTCTATACTACATGAACAATATCTGTCGTAGGAGAGGGAGTCATTCTCTCATTCCTGAATAAATCCCCACCTAGTGACTTACTATTTCCCACATAAGTCAATATTCACAAGCTCAAAGGATTTATAGCTGGAAGAGGTCATCCAGTTGAATATAAGGTCCTTGCAGACCATTTCATTTTTGTTCCACATCCCCAACACACAGTCCAGTACTTTGTTCAAGAAACTGTCAAACTGTACTCAATCCAGGCCAATCTCCTCATTTTATAGAAGAAGAAACCGATCTATAAGATGAGAGAAGATAAAGTTTTGGCCTAAGGTCACATCTAGTAAAAGGCACGTACAGATTCTCCAGCTCCAAACTAGATTCCAGTTCAACCACACCATCAGCACCTATTCATTAATAAACGTTAGCTAAACATCTATTATATGCAAGGCAGAATATGATAAGTCCTGGGTTGGTGGGGGGAATACAAAGATAAATACAGCACAGTCTCTACTATAAAAAGAATTTGGTCAAAACATAATGAATTATTGCAAAAGTGAATTATCATTAGAAGTTGAAGGCTGTTCACATTTATTAATGAATAAACATCCTTTACCTCAATAATAGAGCCAAATAAGCAACTTAAATGGCCTAAAAGTAAGTTTCTGGCCATAGGTAGATTTAGAAAGTATTACTGCTCAGATTGAATTGAGGCTTAAAAGAGGAGAGGTAAAATGCTAGGGTACAAAGTTCTACGTCCTCATTTAAGAGAAAGGCTGCCAATAAAAAGAGTACAGATGTCTCTTTAGTGTATGAGTTCCATTAGGGAACCTCACCCATGGAAACAATAAAAGTTTACTCAATATTCTCTCTGATGTTACTTTTAAAGCATGTTGGCAAGCTTTTCTACCTGAACTGATTCCAAGTCTTTTCAAATCCTCTTGGTATGCTTTAAGGGCAGCTGCCTCCATTGCCGCAAACTCCTTTGATGCTTTTTCTTCTTCTTTTGCCTTTTCTAGGCTTTTCTGTTTAATCTACAGAAGATATGGAAAGGTTAAAACAAAGTAAAAGGACCAAAATTAACATGAAAAATTTACAAAAAAATCTAAATTACCTCACTGATTCTTTTGGCCACATTTTCCTTGTGGTTCTTTCCCCGTTCATGAAATTCAACACTCTTGAAAAATGTTGGAGATAGAGGGAAAAGCAAAGAAACAAATCACAAGTTATAATTCTTGCAATGAAGCAGTAGGATTCAAGAGGGAAGAGAATCTAACTCTTGAAATTTAAACAATTTCTTGAAAGAAGGAAAAAAAGCTAAAAATGGAACACCTTTAATGAAGATTGGCCCTTCTTACAAAATAATGCCAGTGAGTAGTAATGTTTTAATTATATCTTTTAACATCAACATCATAGTTTACTTGGATTCTTAAAAATGTATATTAGATTTGTGATGATTCTGTTAAAGAAAAAGATATTAATTAAAATAAACTTCTGTAGAATAAAAAAGAAAGAAGCTGGAGGTTAAGTGAGAAAACTCTTGTTCATATTAAGAACCTGCCCAAATACTGTAAGATATACCACAAGTAACAAGTGTATACAGGTTTTCCCTCCTCCCTTCAAATTCATAAAGAATCCTTTGTGGGAGAAATAAGGAATAAATCACATTCTAAGTTTATTTCTCAAAGTTGGCAGAAACAAAGAGAATTATAAAATGCCCTGTTCTCCCCCCCTTTTTTTAATGTTATTGATATTGTTGAAAGTCTACAAATACATCATAATTTGACAGATTATGTAAAATCACTATTAAAACAATTCTAGTTATTTTTAAAGGTATAGTACTCTAAAGCAAATAATCATATTTTATTAGTTTAAAAAGGTTTCTTTAAAATAGAATATGCCTGTATACAAAAACTACGACAAACTAAAATAACTAAATGTAATTTCTCTAGAAAAATTGTACCTTCCATTGAAGGTTAAAAAAGTATATCATACTTTGGGTGGTTACTTTGAGAAGCATTTATTTACTATGTACAGTATCTGCCTTACTATTTTATTACATTTGGTCTCATTTTGCAAACAGTCACCTAACCCAAGCTAAAAGATAATTTGTTCTGAGTAAGTTAAATAGGATACTGATAAAATACACATTGCTATCTGGGTTATCTTCTAGAAGGAAATCATATCAATAAATTTTGTGGACTGGAAAACCATTGGTACATGTTTGTAAGGATGCCTTAATCAAAACAAAATAGGACAGGCAGTAAAGGACTTTAGAAAAGGATGACTTTGAACTGAAAGTTTTAAGAGAAAGATAATTTTTACATATTTTCCAGAATAGAGGTAAAATACAGTTCATTTTTAGGCTGACTTAGCAGATAATAATATAAAGTTCTTTTAATAGTTCCATTATTCAAAATTTTCAGGGAAATAATAATGGCTATAATCTTTTTTAAAAATGGTTAAAAAAATTTTTTTACACTCCTTACATTTATTTTTCACCACCATAAAGCCCTCCCTTGTAACAAACTACTATAAAATTTCAAATGGTAGATTCACCTGCAGTTGACGTAAAGAAATTTTACAGTAAACTAAACTTTGAAACAAGTTTCTTAAGCACAGTAACAAAAGACAAAAATCTAAAGAAGTCCTAAAAATGGGTCTAGGCTTGTCAATACTTCAACTTTTAAATCTTGTCTTAGGGATTCCAAGATAACTGATTAAAAGGGCAGGCAAATAATAGTTTCCAATATGTGGCACAAAATTTACTTACATACACTATTCATAGGACTGATTAAATGAATTTTGCCAATATGCATTAGAATGCATTATTAACTGTGAGTCCAGAGAAAGAAGAAGGAACAAACACCCTTGCTTGAGGTCATTAGTAAAGAAGTACCAAGAGTCTCAGTACCAAATAGACAGATCAAAAATGGGTAATAGAGTATATATGTGTAACTTTTTTTGGAGAAGGAAGATGTCTAAAAAAATCTAAGCCATACATGGATATTTTAATTTAACAGATATTATACATGGATATTGTAACTTAAGTTATAACAAAATTTACAAATCACTAATCATAAAAACTGATTTTTGAGGTCACATTTATTTCCAAAAGAACGTCTATGAAATGTGCATGAGGATTCAGGAAAAAATGAAAAGGTAATATTGGGTACTTTAGGTCTTAGCAGTTCAATCTAGAACAATAAATACTGTTACTGTTTTCTTTTTCTTTTTTTTTTTTTTAAGGCAATTGGGGTCAAGTGACTTGCCCAGAGTCACACAGATAGGGAATGTCAAGTGTTTGGTCTGAGGCCAGAATTTAACTCAGGTCCTCCTGACTTCAGGGCTGGTGTTCTATCCATTGCGCCACCTAGCTGCCCCTGTTACTATTTTCTTAAGACAGCTGCTACATTCCAACACAGGGAGGTTATATTGATAATTCTCAAATTTGAACATCTATTGATGGAAGATAAAGAGCTGTGGAAAAACTGTTTTATCTTTTCATACAGCAAGGAACATATGGAAAAGCTGCTCTAAATTATAAAATCCCTTTAAATTTATGTTAACTTCCTATATCTTAGAACCCAACATGGTACACTACTGCAATGGGAATGTCCAAAGAACACTAATGAGACTGACTACTCAACAATCTATTTTTAAAAAAAATGAAATGGGCATCCATCTACATAAAATACAGTTTATTAAAACAAAAATTAACATTGCTAATGAAAAATATACATCAGAAAAACTCTTGTACCAGAAATAATAAAACACTAAAGAAACAATCTTGGATTTTAAGGCCTGCTATAATCTGCCTCTAACCTTCTTTGTTTGATAATCTTACTGTACGGTACTTCTCTAAATTTTTTCTATTTTCTGGTGGCAATTCCCCATCTCATCCCCCATTCCAGAATCCCTGAATGAACTCATTCCACCCTACCTGTTGAAAACTACAGTTGTCTCTTCATTCAAGACTAGTTTCAAATGCTACCTTCTCCTTCAGTCTTCCAAGACTCCCCCAAAGCTGAAAGTAATATCTACTTCTTCAAACTATTCTGAAACATTTTGTTCAAATCTCTCTTTTGTCCTTATCGCACGGTATCATACCTATTTTTACGTTGCAAACCTTAAAGTGCTACATACTTGAAAGTAACTACTATTTGTATATTTGTATTCTATTTATCCTATTAGTCCTCTAAATTGTATACTCACACCTGGCAAAGTATCTGATAAGTAAGTACTTAATTTGCTGAGCTGGCTTCAGCTCAAGAATTAGCTTCTCATCTTAGGTGATTTTGTTCTAAATAAAAATTGAATGCTTTACAACAGGAACTGATATTGAATAGCATATTTTTAAAAAACATATGATTCAAGTTTTCATATTTTGGAAGCAATAGTGGAGATCATACAGGCCTATTGTCTGCTATCCAGCACTTGCAATAATCACAGAATTTCTTAGGTTGTGATTTCCAGTAGTCGGCCCTGAAAAAGAAAGGGGGAGGGGAGTCAAAGGTAAGAATAGCATTAATACAGAAAAGTTGTGCACACTTCACACATTCTTATAATTTCGAACTTTAAGTTTCTGCTATTGAACTCTGATCAGCTACATTATTCAGCACTTAGTTATACTAATAACATACTAATGCTAACATAATTAGTCATAATACCAATATAATACACTAATATTGCACTGCAAAGTTTTATGTGAATAGACTGCATGGGTGGATTATAGTTAAGTTACCTTCGAATCTCTAGGTTCCCTCATATACCAATGGCATGACTTAGAAAAACACAAAACTTCGATTTCAACTTCCCTTTCTGCACATAGGGCAACTGCTAAGATGGATCACGTAGTTTCAACAAGTATTTACTTCTGGAGTTTGCTAGGATGTACTTGGACTAGAGGCCAGCGGGAACTAACAACTGTTACCCAAACCAAGTTACTTCCCTTGAAGGAGGAAAAAAGGTCCTCTGACCAAAGTGTTTTAAGAGCCATACGATTTATTAGTTACAGCATATTTTTGCTTTTTCTTTCCCGAGGCAGGCAAGGAACACAGAAAAAAGTTCGTAAGGAGGCGGGCCATGACTTTATCTCGGGAGGGAAGCTTTTTCTGGGCGGGGAGAAAGTGCAGGCCAGGAATAAACCCTTTAATGCCCCCGGATCCAAGACGTCCTGGCACATTCGGAGCGTGGTACGAGGGAAGGAAGGCCTCCTAGAGGCACAGTCAGAACAGGGGGTCGTCGGGAAGGGGGCAATGCTCCTTAAAAAGGGGTCGGGGAACCCTCCCTTAACAGCGCCGCGGGGTCTAGAGCAGCTTATCCGCGTGCACCGCCCAGCCCTGGCGAAAGCGGGGACCTCGGAGAAATACCCCCGGCTGCCTTGGTCCCTCCCACCGCAGGGTGCCGGCCCCTGGCTCCCGTGCAGCGTGTGTGCGGGTGCACACCGCCCCGAAACCTGAGGGCGCTGTTCGGGGTCGAGGCTTAGGGAGGGGAGGGAGCCTGCGACACTCACATGGCGGCTGCAGCGGCTCCGGCTCCGCCCTCAGGCGCGCGGGGTGGTCAGCGCCTTCAGGCCCAAGGCAGCCCCAGAGTAGCAGCCACACTCGGGACCGGCATCCCACGGTCCCGAGCTACGGATACCGAGAGTGCTCAAGCCGCGTTTAACACTCCTCCTTCCCCCTCCTTCCGTCCCGCGAGCTAGGCCGGTACTCTGGTGGGGGAGGGGGGGCGGATTATAAAGGGGCTTGAGGGAGATTATAAAGGGGCAGAGGTCAAAGGGAGCTAGGGCTCGCTCCCGGCAGGAGCTGGAGTGAGGGGCGGGATCTTGGGCCCCGCAACCCCGTGGGCGAGCAGCCTGAGCGCCGCCTCTGCCCCTCACGCATACCGCGGTTCTCAGAGACATCGCCGCTCTCCCTTCAGCCCAGAGCCTTCCGTGAGGGGGAGGGCGGGGGCTGGAGGGGCGGCGCCCCTGGCTAAGGTGGGCAGCCAGGTGACCCAAGTCCTCACCCCCACGACTAGAGAAGAACCGCGGGGTTCTAAGGAAGGGGGGAGCTCTGGCCCTCGGGCGGGGTGAGGGGGAGGAGGGAGGGGAAGACTAGCCCCGCCCTCCCTCGCCTCACTCCCCCCCGCCCTCCGCGTGGTCTTGCCCATCGAGTCCTCGCGCTCCAGAGCGTGTGGGCGGTGGCCTGAGCTACGGGCGGACGCAGCAGCGGCTCGTCGGCGGCGTTGGCTGCAGCGCGGCAGTGGAGGTAGCGGCGACTGAGGGTAACGGCGGCGCTTACGCTTGTCAGGTGGGTCTGGGGAGCGCTTGAGAGTGTAGCTTCCCATATGGTCTAGCGGTTAGGATTCCTGGTTTTCACCCAGGCGGCCCGGGTTCGACTCCCGGTATGGGAAAAGCCGATTCTTTTTAAAAACTATCCAGAAATGTTTTTTTAACCCTTCCTTTCGTGCCCTAAAGCCAGCGTTTCCCCCCTCTTTTTCTAGTTTCAGAGACCCCGTGTGCACTCTCGCATTCGGAGCCGGGAGTGCGCGCAGGGGGATGGTGGTGCTGCGTCCCTGGCGTGCCTGGCTTCCCTGGAGCCCAGCTAGGGGGAGGGTAGTCAGTCAGTTTCGCTTGGTTAGTTTCATTTGCCGGGAACGTCCCCTCCCTTGGGCCCTCTGGGCTGTAGTTTTCCACGGCTTTGGGAGGTGATTATTAACTCCTCTCCCGGCCAAGTGTTTCACAAGTGACGCTGGGCGTGTTTTCATCCCCACCCCTCGCAGCTCACCCGTCCCGAGCCTTTTTTCGGGAGGAGAGTTTCAGAAGTTTGTCTTCCTCCCTCCTTTTTTTTCCCCCCTTAAATCCAACCAACAAAAAAGTATGAAAAAAGCTCGCTGCTCTCCCCCGAGGCCGTGGGAGTGAGTCGCCTCCCAGGGGTTTGGGCTGCGGAGTTTCCCAGGACTTTTCCCTGACCAGAAAGGGTGTTTGGATTTGGCCGGAGTTGGGACATCCCCTCGGGGCAGCTTTCCTGTAAATTCATCTACATGTCAATCCCAGATTGGCTGCAGAGGGGCCTGATGATGTTTATCACGTCCTGGCCTGCGCTGGGGTCCTGCTTCGGCTCGGCCACAGAAACAAACAAAAAAAGCAAAACCCCCCAAACTTTTGTAACTTTGGTTCCCTAGTTGAACTTGACCTTGCTACTTAGTGCCCGGGAGAAGTGTGTCAGACCCAAGAAAAGTACATACTGAACTTGTTGCTTGGAGGGAAGAGGCTAATGAAAATTAGGAGTGTTCTGTTATAGTCTGAGCGAGGAAGGGCAAGAAAATCATCATGATGCTTCTTTCTAACCTATTCCAAGGGCCCTGAGAGTTTGAGGATCACATGTTTGAAAAAACACATACACCAAAAACACATGGAGTGGGGGTGGAGCTGTGTACTGGAGAGGAAAAAACTGGCAGAAGACTGGGGAGGGGATGTTAAAACAAAGTTTCACTGTATTTTTAAATATAGAGGCCCTGTGTTTATTACAAAGAAGGGGCAGCTGTGGCAGCATGTGAGCTGCAAATGAAACAAAAGAGTTATCTTAAATTCGAGCTGAAATTAGAAAATGGGGTTAGCTACCATGTTTAGTCTGAGGTCTCAAGGAACAGAAGAAAAAAGTGACTTTTCTTGTGGTAAGTGTCATTGCTAAGTGCTGGAGTTTTGCTTGTCAGCATTTCCGTTTCTAAACATCTCTGAATTGTTTGTATTTGCTCTGCAGAGAGGACAGTTTTTCAAATAAATTTTGAACGAAAGCTGATGAAATAACTTAAATTTCGAAGTGATTTAATTAGTCTACTTAAAGTTTTCATAAATAAAAATAATATTTAAAAATAGTTTTGAAACATACTAGTCTGAAGTGAGATAACTATTGAATTAGATAATATTTTGACTCCCACTTCCTACCTTGTCTGTTTTTTTTTGGGAATTATCTTCTCTGTGTTGTAATATCTTAAAAATGAATATAATGCATATCACCTGCATACCCGTTATTTTACCCATTGTTGCCAAAATTATTAGACTTATACTTCCAAAGTTATTGAAGGCAGACTAGCTTTGTTTAAATTCAGAAATGGGTCCTGGGTACTATCAAGAAAACAATTTTCCGTAGAGTCAATGTTTGTTTTGTCTTAACAGTAATAATCAATTTTACAAAATGGTGCTGCAAAAGCTTTTTATTTTTGTTAAGTTTGAAAGCCTTTCCTTTTTAGTATGACAATACATAGTTTAAAAATAGTTCTAGAGGGACATCAACAAAATAAATAAATTTAACTTAAAAGAATAAATCTTGTGATAAACTTTAGCAGTCTTCCCTTTTTTTTTTTTTTTTATTGCTTAAAGTGATCATTTGAAAGCAACTGACTTATCAGGGAATATGCCTTTGAGTTTGGCTAGTATTGGGGATGATTTTGTAAGGAGTCATTCATACTTGCATATATGGTTGTCAAAGGCATTTACAAGATGATTGAGTATTTGGGGAAAGTAGTATAACCCAGGGCCATGAAATAGTAATGCTCAATGGATGATATGAATGGAATCAGCAATTCTCATTAATATTAGAAGTAGTCAGTTCTGCATACAGTTGATCCATCAATGACCATTTACCAGACACTGTGATAGGCACTGGTGATGTAAAGATATAAATAAAACAGCCCTTGGTTCCCAGGAACTTAAATTCTATAGGAAAGAGACTTGTATACATCTAAGTATGTACAAAGCAATTTTTGTGGGAAGGTAGTTAATGGATGTGGAGGCAAGAGACTGTATCTAAAAGGTGGTATTTGAGTTGAATGTAATGGAAACTAAGGATTTTGAGAGTGGGAGGCAAGAAGGGAGTGCATTCCAGGCGTGGAGGGGAAGGACAGTCTGTGCAAAGGCACAAAGATGGACAGCCGGTGGAATGTGTGTGAAGATTAGCAAGGCTAGTTTGGATGGACTGAGGAGTGTAAAGGTACATTGGAGCCAGGATGTAAAAGGCTTTAAATACCAGTTTCTATTTAATCCTAAAGTGAATAGAGCCACTGGAGTTTACTGAGTGGGAGAGTGATATGGTTACACCTGTACTTTAAAAAAAAAAAGTCACTTTGGCAGTTGTGTGTGGGATGAATTAGAAAGGGTTTATACCTGATATAAAAAATTAAGAAGATGAAAGGAAAGAAAGAAGTATTAATAAAAATGAAGGATTGATTTTAAAAAAGTATCTCTTTTATGCAAGATGATGCGGGATTTGATTAAAGAGAATTAGCTGTCATAAATAGTGTAGGGGTCTGACTTGACTTTTGACCCAGATTTCTTTGAGTCTATTTGGTTTTAGTTCCTGTTCTGGTTAGCTGGTTGTGCTGCTTGGATTAGCCATGGATATCATTCCAATTTATAGTGCTTTCCTGGCTTGGTTTGCCAGTAGGATGTGGTGATGGACTAGTGTGAACTATAAGAAAGCATGAAATAGGGAGGTTGATCATCACCAGTATCTCTGACCCAGTCTGATGACTGGTTTCTAACACATGCCTTCCTTGCCTTCTCATGCAGTCTTGGTCTTTAGTTTTTATAGAAAGGCATCTTCTAGGCCATTAGGGAGCCTGAGGTCACATTTTTCAAAAAGGAGAGAACTTTAGTGTCTTAACTTAGAATGTAGGTATGTTCCACTTTAAGAATAAATATGTTAAAAAAAATCTGAGTTTGTGAAACAAATAATTTCAAATTATTCACTTATAGAAGTCTATACTTTTGTTTTCTTTAAATGTCAGGTTCCCCTCATTTTAAATTATATTTTACAGATTTAGTTTAATACAGTCAGCAGATATTTCCATTGAATTTCTAAGGGACTGTACTTGATTGTTGAGCACAAGTAGAAATAGAAAAAAATCTAGTTGGGGAGATGACTTTACATTCTTGTGTCGTCAGTTCTTTTCATGTACATGTGTTGAATGATACAGGCATGAGATGCTATAGAAGTTTAGAAGGAGATCCATCTCTCTTTGGGGTCATTGGTGGGGGAAGTTGTCACCTCGATCAGGTGAGATTTGAGCTGGGCCTAGAGGAAAGCGTAGGATTTAAATAGTTGGAGGGAGAAACGGAGGTTGTGAACAAATGTGGTTGTAAAAAAAAAAATCATGGGTATATTCTGTGGACAGAACATTCCATTGAGTAAAGTCTTCTAACTTTCTGGGGAAAGAAACAAATGCCATTCTATTCTCCTGCCTTCAGGAAAAGGGAGAAAAGCCATTCTGTTAGCTCCCCTATACTGGCACCTTTGCCTGAGGTCAAACTCCAGGGTTTTTGATACAGTAGGGTTGTCTGAACTCATTCCAGTGATTCACAGCTCTTTCTCCTTGTCATCATTCAAACCTTGGTTCTCCCTTCCTCACTGCGCACTCCTCCCTTATTCTCATTCCCCTCGATCCAACTCTTCCCCCCTCTATGTCCCACTCTAAGGCTGCCTACTTCTTCAGTGCTTCTTTCTGGAATGCCTGCTCCGTAGGGAATATACTTGCTTTCATCTTAAATCTTTTCCTTTCCCACTCCTGGATGTCATGGATGCCTGACTTCCTCCGGATGACCCATTTTCCTTGGCTCCCCTTTCTAGAGCTAGTGGCCCTCATACTTATTCCCCCCACTCACTGGTTGAGATGGGAGACTTAGAATACTGTTTCTCACTGCCACTTCCAGTCTCTCCCTCATCATCCATCTCTAAGTAACCACCGTTTTTGAGGTTCATTCAGTCCATGTCTGCCTGGCAAATCAAATCCTGATTACTACTGACACTGATACTGGAGTAGTAGTAGTCTACTGACACTAATAGGGAAAGTGGGAGGTGGGGAGGGTTTAGGGGGAA